TATAACATGAATAAGTTAATTCGATCGATTTCCACAACGAATCCGTCAGAACAGCTAATTTCTAAACAGACAAGCGGTTCTGTAAATAGCAACTTAATTGAAAATTTATCTTCGCAATCGAAAACATGATTGGTTGACAGTGTGAATAATTATACGCTTGTATTTCATCTATGATGTTAGATATTGAGAAATTACAGTGTTCGTTGGGTCCGTTTTGAAAAAACAGGTTGCATTAGAACCTTTCTAGAAAACAACATAGATAGGTGCGGCAGGCAGCGGCTTAGCATTGTCCCTGGCATTGCTGATGTCCATGGGCGACAATGACGATAATTGTCGATGATCCTCAATGCTGAGGTCGAGAGAGGTAACGGACCGGGTTATGTCGGACTCCGGCACCTCCAGGGAGGAAGAGGGAGACGAGGAGGGCCAAGGTTCACCACCTCCTCCAATTCCTCGGGATCCCACTCTCTTTTGCGCTCCTCAGCCTCACGGGACGCCATGACTAGGTCACAAAGCCTGGCCATGGCATCCCACGAGCTTTGATCGTCTAACATGCGGACCACGACAGCCCGCACGGAGAGATCTCTCCGCACGTGCTCCCAACGCTTCGAGCGTGTGCTGAGCGTCATAGTCCAGATGCATGCACTGGTGACAACCCGGAGGTGGCTCTCTCCTGCAGACCTTCCACAGGTACCTCCCAAAACAGCCGCGTTTCGAGAGGACTTGCGTAAGGTGAAAGGAGAGCACGCCGTGTCGCCGATCCGACCATCCTATTACATGTCATATATTAACAAGTTAATCCTATTTTACCTTATTTGCCTGTCGAGCACACGAAAATCACAATTTAGACTATCATACGTATTATTGAGTTCCTTGCAAACTAATCAAAAATAAACAGTCATACTCGTAAATATAAACAATATATTTAGAAACAGTTATTTAATATATGAACCTTATAAAATGCATACAAGATTCGGTTCCGTCTATGGCGGTCGAGACGATTGCTATTTATTGTTCCCTGCGGATTCGAACCTGTTGTTTGAACACCCACCTTGTTTTCTATCTGAGGATTCGTCTGAGCCACAGTACTGTGATGCTACAGTAGTTTTATTAACTTAGTAGGCTTTTTTCACTTTCTACTTATGTGTGTGTGATTTTGACGGTGGAAACTTTTGTTTTTTATTAGCTATATTTTTTTGACAATTGGTTTCCCTAATCGCTACATAGTATAAAACAAAGCCGCTTTCTCTGTCCCTATGTATGCTTAAATCTTTAAAATTACGTAACAGATTTTGATACGATTTTTTTTAATAGATAGATTGATTAAAGAGGAAGGTTTATATGTATAATAACATCCATTAAATAGTGGAGAAATCAATAATAAATTACAGTTTCCGAAGCGAACCGAGGGCGGGTCGCTAGTATATAAATAAATAAATATTCAAGTTCGAACTGTGACGTCATGAAGAATAAATAAAAAAAACTGCTCTATTCAAAACTTTAAAATTGTCAAACTATTAAAACAAGCGCTGGCTGGCTTAAGCCGTGATTATTCAAAATACCGATATATCAAAAAAAGCTCTATATCTTTCCCGAGCTTAACGGCTCTACTGGGAGATATTTATTTAACCAATCAGTCCTTTTGCGGCTCTCCTTTCTATTTCTGTAGTCTTAATTAGTGCGTCCATAGATTAAAATATACATCACGAGAATTTATAAGTTACGATCTTTAAACCAGTAATTTCGATTCTAAAGACAGCGTGAGACTTATCAGTTACCAATCTATATATTATTACGTGAAGCAAAAACTTTGTATCCCTTTTTACGAAAATTGCGCGGACGGAGGAGTATGAAATTATCTACACTTATAGAGAATATAGATAATAAGTGCACAATGCTAATATTTTTTTTAAATAATGCATAAAAGATACATTACATCAATAAAGAAAACATTACACACACTACATACCATGTATTTGACGCACACACGCATGCATACTATTTATTGTCAAACTTTTATTCTTGACGTCTATGGTCAAATTGAGAATAGATGAAATATATTGTTTGTCTTTATTATTATTTTTATAGTTAGCCTTGGCGAAATTTGTGATTATAGAAGTATAAAATACAATCATAATAGTGTAAAAACTTACAATTCCAATTAATTATAGTCGTATTTCGACTACTGCGGGATCTCTAGTACTTTTAAAAGGTAGAACTTTGTAGAAATGATGGAAGCGCTTTCACTTTTATTTAGGACTACTACCTAGACTAAGTTATTCTATTGCCTTGTTGGGCTGTTAGCTTGTGACTTCTGTGTGATGTTGAATGCGAAACGTTTGATTCACTGTAACCTATATAAACTGTGTCAAACATGATTTTGAACCGATGTTCCGGACTCTGGACTAGATCAATATTAGCTACCAGAACTACTGCAGCCAACAACTACTTGCTTGAAATTTACATCGTTTCAACTTCAAAGGAATTGTAGATTATAAATGTGAGTATATTCCTTCCTTGTTCACTTTGTGTAATTTAGAAATAAATACGAACATAGTCTAGCAAAGTAAACATGTTTAGGCTTGTTCTTTTTTTTATTTTTTAGTTTAGTTAGTTGCTAGGGTCGACATTATATAAAAATATTAATAGAAAAAAAAATGGAATAGAAGGAAATGAAGTTGATTTCTTTAAAATCATACTTCATTGAGGTGAAATTGATTGAATTGCGGAATGAGATGAAATTAAATAACGTTCCAGTATAATGACGAGAATTTACTAGGATTTAAGTAATTTTTAGAGAAATCATGTACAGCGATTTTTGGATTATTTTCCCGCAAATGTGCACTTTCAGAGATGCTAAACTCTTAATAAGCCACCGTTGTTACTAAATGCTTAATCCTAAAGAAACACGAAAGTATAAAAATAGTCCATCGTAAAGTTTCATTGCTAATATCTCCAGGATGACCTGGAGCTTGACTCCATTAGTAAGTATATTCAGTCGGCATCAGAGCGCTACTTTGAGAAGGCGGCACGACACGAAAACTCTCTCGTCGTGGCGGAAATTACATACCGCCGAAATAACATACCCGGTCCGGCGGACCGAATGGTAAACAATCGACGTCGCCCTAAACACGTCATTTCGGATCTTCCCGATCCACTAACAGTGCTTTTAGGTACCTCAAGCACCGGTTGCCGTCCCCGTCGAACACGTCGCTTGCGACCTGTGCTTGCGACGAAGAGTTCGGCGAGTAAACTAACCCATAAACACAACCCACTGAGTTTCGCACCGGATCTTCTCAGTTGGTCGCGTTTCCGATCCGGTGGTAGATTCTGCAAAGCACTGCCCTTGCTAGGGCCAGTGTTAGCAACGCCTCCTGATTTGAGCCCTGAGAGCTTCCTTACACGTTAGAGTTACGCTGACATAGGCTCTCAAGGCTATCAGCATAGGTAGGAAAAACAAAGTGACCTAAAGGAAGAGAAACATAGAATATTCATACAGAGTTACGACTATTAACTTAACGCACATACCAGTAGTTTTAATGTTTCCAGAAACTTCTTCAAACGTAAATAGGATCCAATATAAATAGGATCTTTACTTATCAGCGAATTTTTCCGACAATACGTAATCGATTGTTAGAATTTTTACCGGAATCAATCAATAAACGTGATACAACATTTAACGATTTACCTTTAGGTATTTAGTTTTTTCAAACTTTTCCTTATTTCACTTAGGTATTTAAAAATCTAGAAATTGTTTAAAGTTCATAATAAGATGAAATATGCTATAAAAAAAAAGAAAATCATATCATCATCTATCATCAATTCTCTTTCTTCTTCTCAATTTCTAACTTTTGTCTTTAGTACATAGTGGGTCTTCGTTCTCAATATACCTAATATTACTTAATATTATTATATTACTTAATAGTACTTTGAGGAACTGCAAGGCCGGTAGACCATATTTTACTAAGTAGCTTCTCTGATGACGTCTAAGGTTCCTTCTTTGACCGATGGATAGAAGGGACAGAACGCCAGATCCCTAGACGACAGCCAAAACAAATTGCAATATATCAATAGATAATTTCTTCTCTATTACATGAGCTAAAACAGCCCTAAAACAGTGGTCAAACGGTCGTAATAAACGCTTTTAAAATAAATAATACTCGCGATTTGTATGATTATAATTTATGTAGTTATTATTTATACAAAAAAAGTCAAAAACGTTTTTAGACGAATTACAAAACATACATTATAAATTTATATTGGAATTCCTTTAAAATAGTATCGCTTTAGACAATATAACTAAGCACTTCTTATTGACATGATTGGTTTTCTTGACAATTTTTGTTATTATTAAGCCGTTGTAACTATACTGAGATCTTAGAACTTATATCTCAAGGTGGGTGGCGCATTTACGTTGTAGATGTCCATGGGCTCCAGTAACCACTTAACACCAGGTGGGCTGTGAGCTCGTCCACCCATCTAAGCAATAAAAAAAATTTCACCAGTGTAAAACACACTTTATCCCATTTATCTACTTTGAATGCGGATTATCGAGTAACTGACGTCAGTACATATTGTCGCACACCTCCAATTAATTTGGCATCAGGTCTATCATTCAGCTTATCGTCGAGATAATATTGGCGCCCACCTTTATCACGAATATTTGAATAGTGAATCAAAGTATTACGAATCTGTTTTGTCCAAAGAATCTTTACGATATGAATTTGTGAGGTCATTTTAAGAAGAATTCAGTTGACTAAAAAATTAACGGTTAATAAGGGAATTTCAGGCTTTCTTCTCAAAAGTTTCTTTGCCATTTAAAATACATCGATTAAATGGACGTTACGGACATTTTTTTCCGGTTAGGGTACCTCTCCGCATCGTCCCATAAGGAACTTCGTTCCAAAAAAACTCAGGAAATATGATGAGGTGCAAATGCAGATGCCGCCAATTTTAGGTGCACGTACATGGGAATAATAGTTTTTTTTTGTGTGTCACAGGTGCACAATGTGGTGGCAACAGTGGTAGAAGAGAAGAGGGCGGCCGGATGCGGCCCGCGCGCCCCCGTCCGCCCGCAGCCTCCGTCACCCAGCGCCGTCCGCACAACGCACTATGCGCATGGCAAGTGCCCTGCCCACTCTGCTCGCGGTAAGCCCCTCCTTTGTCACATCACTCTTGTCAGGGCGGTCGCGCTCGTCATTCAGTATCATTACTCTGGGCAGATGTTATGCGCCTCAGTATACTCGCCTACCTATAGTTCTGTGTCGCATCACTCTTGTCAGAGCGGTCGCGGTCGTCATTCAGTATCATTGCTGTGGGCCGATGCTACGCGCCTAATGACCAAAGTAAGTCCACAGAAGTCCAAATTGAGTGATAGAGTGAGTCTGCCTACACGGGTAGGTGCCATTTTCCTGCCAATATCTGCCGCAAATAAGTTACACTCTGTAAGATAAGGTAGAACAGACTTTACAAGCGTGAATTTAGTGGCGCCATTTTTGTTGATATGTCTATGACCTTTGGTATCCACTAGCTTCAGGTAAACAGTGAGTTCATTTAGTTTTTTAGTGCAATAATAATGAGCATAGAAAACAAGAAGACAAGCAACTGGTTCGGAAGACGAAGCAGTAATGAACAACAAAGTCTAATATGAACTCTATCAACAAGACTCACGCCTAACCCATTACGTTTTTATTTTAAAGGTGAATTATTTATTCTAAGCCTTTCTTTTATAAGGTAAATTAAAGTGTCTTGCTTTTTTATTTGGTTTATTTCGTCAGTTTTTCTAGGGATTATATCTTTTTGAAAACCGCCGATAGAGTTAACATATAATTCATTTGTTGATTAATAAATATATAAAAGACACTGAATTCAAGCAGTTTTTCTAAGCTGCAGATGATAAAATAGATTGATTCTGTTAACCATTAAAATTCGGGCATAGTATATGCAAATCTATTAATTTAAAATTTTATTTTTTCTAAAAACATTCCACTCACTCATGTTACATTTGAACATTTAAATTAATATCTTCTTTAGTTTTCGCGAGTCATAGACATCAAATATTTAAAATTACTTCTATTCTATATAACATATTCTATAGTATTCATAATATGTAGTTATCATTATTATATCGCGACCACAAAACTTTAATGAAAAGAAACGTTGAAAGAATAAAAAGAAAATAATGAACACGAGAGTAAGCCCTAAAAATATTTCTAATTATTATTTATTTATTTAAAAAAAAAATTTACTATTTAAATTTACCAAAAACACAATGTATTTAACATTTTTCAAATTTAATTTCTAGATATCGTTTTAAGCTTAAAAAAAAAGAAACGAAATATGATTTTAGCATTCGAATTGACAATCACGAGCAAATCTTACAAGGCAATTTACTAACTAAATCACTAAGCCGTTTAAGTAACCAGTGTGACACATTTTCTAAGTATTTAATTCCCAATCTATGCGATTATGTAGATATTATTAATGGGTATCTGTAGCGCTCGGCATTAATGTAAAGGAAATTATGAAACTCTAAATAGCATACAATTTATTGACATTGTTAAGGGCACGGGCAGAAAGAGTGGTCATTTAAAATTATGACTGCGGTAAATTATGATCGAAAACGTTTGCATGTAACATAAAAATCATGTAAACAGTTAATTAAAAATCATAATCATATACTGACAAAACGTATGAATTTAAAATTATGAATTGCACCGTATATTTTCATAAACAATTAAAATATTTGTACACGATTTAAGATACAGAGTATTTAAAAACGAAATTCTGTTTTTGACTGCCTTACTGCCTTGCCTTTTACTGCCTTCAAAAACGTCAATATCAATTCTAAATCAAGACAAAGTCTTGAATGTCGCGTAACTTGAAAAATTAAGTAAAACTTTTAATTTCACTAAAATACTATCTTCTGTTATGATCATAAAAAATAAATCCATTCTTTTATTTTACGTGCTCTTGAAATTGTAAATGTCAGCGCGCGATCTATGAAATTTTCTCTTTCACACATCCCTAATTAATTCGATCGCGCGAATTAATTAGGGATGTGTGGCGCACGTCATTACAAATCCTCCCGATCCATTAACGGCGGTTTTAGGTACCACAAGCACCGTTCACCGCCTCGTCGAACCCGTCGCTTGCGACGATGGGCTCGACGAGCGAATTATCCCATAGACACAGCCCACTGAGTTTCTCGCCGGATCTTCTCAGTGGGTCGCGTTTCCAATCCGTTGGTAGATTCTGCGAAGCACGGCTCTTGCTAGGGTCAGTATTAGCAACACTCCCGGTTTGAGCCCCGTGGGCTGACCTACACGCCAAGGAGAAGCTGAAATAGCTCCTCAATCTATCAGCATAGGTAGGAAAAAAATAAAATAAATAAATATCAGCACGCGATCTTTGAAATTTTCTCTTTCACACATCCCTAATTTATTCGATCGTGCGAATTACAACATAATACGTATGATTTTCATCGTAATCAATTACCGTGTCGCGTCGATGAGCGAAAACCCGATGGCATTCCAACGATGGATCTAATCGCTTACTATACAAATACACGAGCAAGATCTTGTGGCAGTATGCCACTGGCCGTGGGCAGCACTGGTCGTCTAGAGGAAAAGTTGATGGAAAAAAATAACGCGCGCGATCGTTCGCGTTTCAAAAAGAACGCTCTCTGCCTACCGTTCGAAAATGTCACTTTCCGCCTTTTGTTTCTGTTAAATATTATTATTGGTTCGGTGTTGGCTTATAAAACTGTTTTTGATTTTCGAACGCTTGAAGTGTTAACGTAAAAACCGTTTATGGATGATTTATTCAACTCCCTGGAAAAGTTTGATTATGCTCATAGCAACGAAAATGGTGAGTTTTTTTTTTATTTATTTAAATTTTCCAATTTATAACTTTTTATTTAATTCTTAAGCTCTATAATTTAGTTTCACATGAGATATAGAGGATGAGAGAGCTGGAAGAGATTTCTTAAAGAAATAAGCAGTGTCTTTGTACATAATTTTCCTATTACTCTGTACTATGTCTTCTTTTCTGTGTTTACATAAATAAATAAATAAAATAAATAAATAATATAGTTTATATCCAAATGTGCTTGAATATAGGTTTAAAGCAGAGGATATATACCTTTATGTTTAATAAATGTACATTAAGTGAAAACATAGGTATATGACCCTGACTTAATTGTCCCAATACCACTACCACAATACCCGTGTCTAGTATGTAGTTGAATTATTTTACTCTCCTTGTTTCGGTTACACACTTCCTATTTTCCCAATTCGTATTTCGGATAATGGCGGTGGGACGCGTTAAAAACACAGAAAGCCATCTAATGTTATGGACTTCAATCCTGTCTCAAGGTAGACTGCATTTACGATGGAAAGTCTACATGACCCGACATCCACTTAACACAAAATAGTCAGATAACCAACTTAAATTGTCTGTAGAGTGTACACGTGTGAGATGAAATAGAGACATGAGAAATAGAGTTACAGTTTCAGTAATAAGTGAAAAAGTAGGAATAATTACAATTATATTAATACGTGAAGCAAAAACTTTGTATCCCTTTTTACGAAAATTGCGCGGACGGAGGTGTATGAAATTTTCCACACTTATATAGAATATAGAGAAGAAGTGCACAATGCTAATATTTTTTTAAAATAATGCAATAAAGATACATTAGATCAATAAAGGAAATATTATACACACACTACATACCATGTATTTGACGCACACACGCATGCATACTATTTATTGTCCCAACTTTTGTTCTTGACGTCTGTGTTCAAATTGAGAATAGATTAAATATTGTTTGTCTTTATTAATATTTTTTTGTAGTGTAGCCTGGGCGAAATTTGTGATTATAGAAGTATAAAATACAATCATAATAGTCTACAAACTTATTATACAATTCCAATTAATTATTATAGTCGAATTTCGACTACTGTGGGACCTCTAGTTACAATTATTTTCGAAAATGAATCATATTTGAATACATTGAGCAATCGTCATACTCCGCAGTCTCATAATGTCGGTTAATTGGTTACATTATTAAATAATCATTTGGACAAGTGCCTACATATTTGACTAATAAAATTTTTATACAGACGCCTTATTTATCTTGTGCTTAACCACAAATAGTTGTGAAGAAATTTGTTGCAACACGCACGTAATGCGTACACCATGAAAATGTCACATTGCACGAGTAAGGATCCCCTCATTTTGAACTGATACAAATAATATCGGCACGGGTAGGTACCACCGCCCCGCCTATTTCTGCCGTGAAGCAGTAATGCGTTTCGGTTTGAAGGGTGGGGCAGCCGTTGTAACTATACTTGAGACCTTAGAACTTATATCTCAAGGTGGGTGGCGCATTTACGTTATAGATGTCTATGGGCTCCAGTAACCACTTAATATCAGGTGAGCTGTGAGCTCGTCCACTCATCTAACCGAGAAAAAAAAAACTTAGATCTTAATCAAGCGTTTTTTTTAATTATGTTTACATTATTTCCTAAGCTTGGATAACTTTATAGTTTTCGTGGTCAGAGACGAAATAAGCTAATAATGACGTCTTGAAATTTAGTTTTAATTATGTGTAGGACTCGCAAAAACCGACAAAAATTCTATAAAAGTAGTTTAAGCTGAGTTAAAAAAATTCCTATAAAAAGTTGCATAGGGCTTCATACGAACATGCGTGTTATATGCGAGCTTATTTATGCATTATCAAACGCACTATTTAGCCTTAAATTAGAAGCTACTTACGCACTATTTTGCAATCTATTAATACGTGAAGCAAAAACTTTGTATCCCTTTTTAAGGAAATTGCGCGGACGGAGGAGTATGAAATTTTCCACACTTATAGAGAATATAGAGAAGAAGTGCACAATGCAATTTTTTTTTTAAATAATGCATGAAAGATACATTAAATCAATAAAGAAAACATTACACACACTACATACCATGTATTTGACGCACACACGCATGCATACTATTTATTGTCAAATTTTTGTTCTTGACGTCTGTTGTCAAATTCACTGAACAAAAAACACGTCACTGAAATCTCATAGTTCTGACAATAATCTCTGTCCACTCTGAAGTTATGAAAAGATACAACAAAGCAAAGTCAGTCAATA